GGTGAGCGGCGCAGTGAGGTGGGCGCTGTCACCTCAGGGCGCGCGGTTGCGTGCACGCCTCGCGGCTGCCCGCTGCACAGCCTCCGCTGCCCCATCGCCACCGCCGCGCCCATCTACTCACGCACGCCCAAGCCCCAGCCCCAGCCGCGCCGCCGCAGCCCCCCCTCCCCGCGGCCGCAGGACGGCCGTAGAGCACGGCGCGTGGGGCGCCCCCACCCCTCCCCACACTCTGGGGGCTGCGCCCCAGGGGCCCCTGTGGCCGGCCCCGCCGCCCTGCCCACCTTAGCCAGGTCCATGTAGGCCTTGCCCTCATCGCTGTTCTGCATAAAGTCCAGGTTCCACTGCGCGATGCGCGTCAGCCCCGCGTAGCCGCCCGTGGAGAAGCCGCGCAGCAGGTTCAGGGTGGCGGCCGACTGGTTGTACGCGCGCACCAGGCGGAAGGGGTCGGGCACGCGCGCCTCCGAGGTGAACTCGGGGCCGTTGATGATGTCACCTTCGGGGGAGGGCCGGGCGAGGTCGGCGGTCGGGGGAACCCGGGCGCGCGCCCCGCGGCGCGTCTATGGGCGGGGTGCGTGCTGTGCGCGCCGGCAGGTGGGTTGCCGGTGCGCGCCTCCATCCACGCTGGGTGCTCCACCCCCGCTGCGGCCCTTGCGGCAACCTGCCTCGCCGCACGTGAGCAGCGACAACCATCAACATCATCACATACGAACACCACTCACTCAGGCACGCACACACGCACACGCACGCTCACGATGCGTGCGCCGGCACGTTGCACAATACTGGCATCCGCAAACACTCCAACCTCGTTGCACCGCACAATCCCCATGCTTCAGGCTCACAGCCCTCAGCCTTCAGTGTGCGCCCGTTTTCGCACTCATGCGGTTCGTGACCGACAGACCCCGCGCGCGCCGGCACCCACCCCTGTAGGAGGGCAGGCTGACGCCGTCCTTGTCCTCCATATCCGCCGACCGCGGCTTGGCGAACTGCCCCGCCATGCGCCCTAGCTTCACCACGGGCACGCCTCCGCCGAACATCAGCACCACGCTCATCTGGAGCAGCACGCGGTACGTGTCGCGGATGCGGTTCGCGCTGAACTGCGAGAAGGCCTCCGCGCAGTCGCCGCCCTGCAGGATGAACGCCTCGCCGCGCGCCGCGCGCGCGAGGCGGTCCTGCAGCGTGCGGCACTCGCCGGCAAAGATCAGCGGCGGGTAGGCCGCGATCTCAGAGCAGGCCTCGGCGACGCGCGCCTTGTCGGGGTAGTTGGGTTGCTGGGGGTGCGGGGGTGGGGCGGCAGGGGGAGCGGTGCAATCGGGCCCGCGTGGCGGCGGCGGTTGGGTGACTGCATAGGCA